CATTCCCACTAGTCTCTCTCACATGCAATTGCAACAGCGCACACTCACTATCGCAGAGTGTTGTCACAAACGTGTCAGCTTCCAGTTCCGCCGTGGTGCGTCCGATCCACCGGCCCACAAAAATTCATACTCTGGTCAGTGGCAAAACGGGAGCAACACAAAAGATCGAGCGCAGCCGAGTCCTCGCAATTTGGGGCGGTCAGGAAAACGTGGCGCCACTGTGAACAAATTTCACTCCACGCCCCGCTCGGTGCCGTGCTTTAGTGGTTAGTGCTGACCCGACCGGCACCGCACCGGAGGAACTGGCAGTTTGGCACGGCGCAAGACGACAGCAACCGGCGGCCCTCGCAGCCGCGCCTCGCGCGCCACGGAATATCCCTCCGGTTCCACGGGGGGCCACGGCGTCAGAACTCAGAAGGGCGCGAGCCGTGAGCGAGGGCCGCAGGGCGATAAGAGAGGAGCGGGTCGCGTCCGACCGAGGCAGCTCATCCCATTCGCCGTCCGCCCGCCCGCCTCCTGTCCTGCCGTGGCCGCTGCTGCCTCCGCCACTGAGCGACACGAGGCCCACGACGCCCGCGACCGCGATGGCGACCATCACGACGCCGCTCCGCTCCGCGCTGCTCTCGCCGGCCGCCGCCTCGTCCGCGGGCCGGCGCCGCGGGGGCGGGGGCCGGCGCCGCGCGCCCTCCTCCGTGCGCTGCGACGCCTCCCCGCCCTCCTCGCTCGACCCGGACTTCGACAAGAAGGCGTTCCGCCACAACCTCACCCGCAGCGACAACTACAACCGCAAGGGGTTCGGCTACAAGAAGGAGACGCTCGAGCTCATGAGCCAGGAGTACACCAGTAAGTTGCATCAGTAGCAAGCACGGTGGAGGAACCTGGTGTTTTTCCCCCTCCTCCAGACTGGTTGATGGGGGACGGAATCGAATTGGTATGCAGGCGATGTGATCAAGACGCTCAAGGAGAACGGCGACCAGTACACCTGGGGCCCCGTCACCGTGAAGCTCGCGGAGGCCTACGGATTCTGCTGGGGCGTCGAGCGTGCCGTGCAGATCGCGTACGAGGCGCGCAAGCAGTTCCCCGAGGAGCGCATCTGGCTCACAAACGAAATCATTCACAACCCCACCGTCAACAAGGTAACCGTATCCGAAATCTGTCAACTCTAAGAATCTGAGCTTCATACGGAACTAGGTGGGTGAGGAAATCAGTGGTCTGCTGCGTCCTCTTGCGTGTGTGTGTGTGTGTATAAGGGCGCAAAACGAGCTGATGCCCCCACTGAGTGTTACAAAGTAAAATTCTAGTGCTGAAAGTGTTCGTTCCAAAACTCCAGTTTAATTCGGCCCCAGTGCTCAGGCCTTACCTGCAAAGCAAAAATCATAGTGTCCACTGTTCTCTGTCCTTAATTTGCGATATTCTGACTCAGAGGCTTATGTGCTTAGCTGAGTTGAATTCATGTGATTGGTCATGCAGAGGTTGGATGAGATGGGTGTAGAAATCATTCCTGTTGATGCGGGTATCAAGGATTTCAATGTCGTCGAACAAGGTGATGTTGTTGTGTTGCCTGCATTTGGAGCTGCTGTGGAGGAGATGTACACGCTAAATGAGAAGAAAGTGCAGATTGTTGATACGACCTGCCCTTGGGTTTCAAAGGTAAATTTTGTTTTTGAAGATCTCCCCTTTGCGTTCTCCCTTTTATACGACTTGCGATCGGCTGCCGATCGCTGTTTCTCGAAAGTAAAAAGCCTTACGATATCAAGCTGATGAAGATCATTATTCAATATAGGTCTGGAACATGGTCGAAAAGCACAAGAAGAGTGAATATACTTCAATTATTCACGGAAAATATTCCCATGAAGAAACTGTTGCCACTGCTTCTTTTGCAGGAAAGTACATCATTGTGAAGAATATGACAGAGGTGCATTGAACGGATTTTATGTTTTGCTGTTCTTTCGACTTCGTATCAAACATGATCAGAGATAAGAAAGTTGAAATGTTTTGAATAGGCGACCTATGTGTGTGATTATATACTTGGTGGCCAACTTGATGGGTCTAGCTCAACAAAAGAGGAGTTCCTTGAGGTAAGGACTGAGGGTTTTACTCAAGTTATCCATTTACTGTCATGCTGGAAAGGAATGACCAGCTAAACTGTTTGACGCACAACTGCAGAAATTCAATAAAGCTGTTTCTCCAGGATTTGATCCTGATGTTGATCTTGAAATGGTGGGCATTGCAAATCAGACAACAATGCTTAAAGGAGAAACCGAAGAAATTGGTAGGTTATCTGACCAGCCTCTGCTACCTCCATAGCTATGTGTTGTGATTTATATAGTACATATTGTTTTAGCAAGCACCAATTTTGATTGTAATGCTTTATTATTAATAGGGAAACTTGTTGAAAAGACTATGATGCAAAAATATGGAGTTGAAAATGTAAACGATCACTTCATGGCCTTCAATACTATCTGCGATGCCACTCAGGTAATTTTTCCTTTTCCAACAAGCGGTAGAGTCTTACCACCTGTGACCGGAAGGTCCTGGATTGAGTCACGGTATCCTCGCATTACATAGGCGAGGGTAAGGCTTGCCACTGACACCCTTCCCCAGACCCCGCACATAGCGGGAGCTCTCTGCACTGGGTACGCCCAACATTTCCTTCAGCTTTGCATAACACAAAGTCTTGTAGCCCAACCCAACTGAGTCTCTTCCTTTTAGATGTTACATGAAGCATTCCAAAATGTATGGTTTCTTGATGATCTCAGAAACTTGTTGTTTCTGTATCATCTAGTTTACTCCATTGCTGAATGAAAGATGCTTGTGCCTGATTGAACATCGTCCTAACTGTTCAAAGAACTTTGCTTTCCAAACTTGCCCATATTGATGTTTAACAGACACTCCATTGCGTGTTCTCATTGATCAATGGGAACATAGGCAACAAAAGAAAACAACCACCACCTACCCCATTGATACTCAGTGCGATATACTCCCACTGTCCCAAAAAGAGTGTTGTTATGGGAGTCGTGTTGGTCATACTGTCTTAAATTTGACTAGGTTTGTAGAAAATATTAGTAACATTTATATCTCCAAATAATTTTATTATGAAAATATACTCAACGATTCATCTAATGATACTAACTTTGCACCATAAATATTAATATTTTCTTATATATATTTGGTCAAAGTTGAAAATGTTTGACTACTCAGAAAGTGAGAATGACACTCTTTCTGGGAAGGAGGGAGTATTCAATAATGGAAGTGGCAGTCTTACAGCATTTATTAATCTTTACATGAGGCTAAAATGTGGACCTTTTGGGAATGATGGAATTAGTATTACTGTACTATAAAGTTTAGAAAAGGGTAGCATACAATTCAAGATAGACGGTAGCCATTCATGGTACAATACAATCACCATCGCCCTTTACATGCAACCTGCAAAGGAAACTGAGACAGCTTATATGGCACCTTATTTTAAGTCAATGTTAAGAGGGTTCCTAGTTCATTTATTGCTCCACTTTTGGATTGAGAAAATGTCTCTTTGGGTGATAGATTTATAATTGTTTTGACATATGCTGCATTGACTTATATACATCCGGCCATCTGTTTGATTCCTCAGGAAAGACAAGATGCTATGTATCAGCTGGTGAAAGAGAAAGTTGACCTTATTCTTGTTATTGGAGGATGGAATTCAAGTAACACCTCTCATCTGCAAGAAATTGGAGAACTCAGTGGAATTCCATCCTACTGGATTGACAGTGAACAAAGGATTGGACCAGGAAACATGATCAGCTACAAGTTAAATGTAATTTCTAATACCCTCCACAGATGCTGCTTTTTTTAACCAGGACAGTGTTCGTTTTTTGAAAAATAATAGAACTTTGAAGGGATCTTCTGTTTAATTTGGAACTGAAAAGAGCTTAAATTTAATAATTGAAAATATAGGATCTCATTTTTTAACTGAAAATTGTATTGTTTAACAGCATGGTGAACTTGTTGAGAAAGAGAACTGGTTACCCGAGGGGCCTATTACCATTGGTGTTACTTCGGGTGCCTCAACACCGGACAAGGTAACGCAAAGCTGTACTGATCTAACTTTAAGCGTTTCTTTTCTACACAGCTTGCTTGTACCACATAAAACTTGATGGCAATAATGACATTCTACTTATGCAGGTTGTTGAGGATGCTCTTCAGAAGGTATTTGAGATCAAGCGCCAGGAAATTTTGCAGGTTGCATAAATTTTAAGCAGAAATTTGTTTGAGAGCAGAATAGCTTTGGCTTGGCAAAGGTTACTAGAACCATTGCACAGGCAATGTTTTGTACAGTAGCAAAGGATGTAACGGTTTAGGCACGAATACTACCACGAGGCACTATCCTTGTGCTAAACGAAAATGTTGTTATCATTGGTCTGAATAACAGTTGCACCAGCTGTTCTAGGGTCTAACTTTTTGGCCCTTAAATTGATGTACACTCAGATGTGTAAGTTCATGGATTGAGCTCAGTTGCAGGATTTCCTGTGCCTATATGCGGATGAAAAGAATGCATAGTTCCTGCGTGTAAAAAGCTTAAATCCAGTACTTGAACTCTTGATATGTCATCAGTTGTAACAGAAAATCGTAATAAAACTTCCAATTGATGCTCTCTAATCTGAAATGTTCCCCAATACTCACTTTGAGAGTATGGCTACTACTAAAGCGAGTTATACATTTATTTTGGATGGAGGGAGTACGCTGTAAAGTTTGCAGCTCTGCTTTCTTCTCTCCCATCTCTCTCTTTCGCCTCAAAACACAAATCTAATTGGCATCTTTAGGTGCATGTCTAAAGGTAACAACCCATGCAATCAAAGTAGTTAATTTTGATGATTATAGATGGGTTAAAAAGGTCAACAAAAACGATTGGCTAAGTTGGGAACTCCCTGCATTGGGCCTGCCATGCTGCACTGTCAGCGGGAAAGAAGACGAGAACAACCCCAGATCGATCGCAAGACCTCGAGAAAAGCCTTCCCGTCTCACAACCACGATTTTACGCACTCGCGATGCGCTGGCCACCTAATCTCCGTCTTCGTCCTGTTGAGCCGCTTGGCGGCGCGAAGGACGGCCTTGAGATCGGCGACCTTGGCCCGCTTGGTGCGGCAGCAGTTGGCGTGCACGGTGGCCACCTGCTCCGATTCCCGGCTGTCCTGGCAGAAGCCGCTGAAGCGCGCCGTGTCCAGGACGCGCACGCGCAGGCCGAGCCGGCGGAACGCGCCGCGCCGCTTCATCCGGTTCAGCACGTCCTGCTCCTTCATCCCCGCCGAGCCCCGCCGCGCCGCGTGCCACTCGTCGAACAGCGCCACCGTCCGGTCGTTGGAGGCCACGAAGAAGAAGCCCGTGTTGAGCTCGTTGCCGGCGTAGTCGTGCGGCTCGCCGTTGAACTTGTCGGAGCTGATCAGGAAGTCCTCGCCGTCACCGCGGTCCAGCTTCGGGAACGGATTCCTCAGCCACATCACGTCCATATCCTTTATTACAAATCAAAAGCACCAAAATCTAAGCATGCTGCTAATGCATGTAGCAATAATAATGGAGATGCCCATATGCATGCATGCATGATCACAAACGTACGCACAGTGAAAATGAAGCTGTAGCCGTGCTTGAGGACGTCGCCAAGGAACCGGATCCGCCGCCACATCATGCGTATGAAGCCGTCCGACATGTAGAGCTGCTCCGACGAGAGGTCGCCCTGCTGGCTGTCCACCGGCCGGAGCAGGTAGCACTTGACGCCGCCGCCGAGGCTCCTGCACCGGCGGAAGGCCTGCTGGTCCATGGCCACGAAGAGGACGTGGTCGATGAGCTGCTCGGTGCCGTCCCCTTCCCTCAGGCTCTCGAGGAAGAGGTCCAGCAGGCCGCCCTCCTCCGCGTACGCCTTGTTCAGCATGGTCAGGATCAGCGTCCTGTTCGCGTACGCTGCGCCGCGTAGCGCCACCTCCAGATCGTCGGGGACAAAATCCTGGGCATCCGTTTTGACAAGAAGAATTAAGCTAGGGTTTAGATCGAGCTGATTAGGCTGCAGTAGCAATATTGTTAATCCTGGAAGAGCTGGCTAACGATTTCTTGAACACCAAAAGTTGACTTGCCGATGATCGGCGGCGCCATATGTTGAAGAACTTCTCCTCCTTCCCGGCGTCGCCGGCGGCCGGAGAAGAAGACGCGACGTACGTGCAAACCACGATGACGACGCATACGGTGGTGAGGGCCACGGCACGGCTCAATGTGCATTGCTCCGGCCGGGCTGGTATCAGCACCCCCATTGGATTGGATCGATCAACTTGATTGCTCCTTCGTCGTTGTCTAGCGTTGGAGAAGACCCTGTAGCTCGATCACCATGGAAGGATCGCAATGTCTCGGAGGAGAGGGCGCGCAGAATCTCATGGGCATCGGTTTGTTACTGGTTCAGTTGTTATATTTTATATTATTATGTAATATATACATATCTGAATGGGCAGTCATGAGAAAGTTGCAGCAAACCTACCAACTTGTATTGACAGTTTATCACGCACAATTCACCACCAGGCTCCTCAAGGGTACACGTTGAAGATGTGTGTTGGAGTTGCTGGCAGTAGAGGTGGTAATGGATTAGAATCTAGGAGTGAATCAAAATGGAGAAGCCAATTAAAATCCAAGGAGAAAAAAAAGGATCTGTCTATTTGCAACTCAGGTGATTTGACCCCCTCTGATCACTCAAGCAATTTGAGGGGGCAAATCACACAAATGAAACAAAAACCAAATTTTATGTGATTGAGAGCCTATGATCACATGAGTAAACCAAATAGGACAAATCACACAAATCTAAACAAAAGCAAAAATTGAGTGAAACAGGAGATCAAATCACACGAATTATGCATTCCATCTAAAAACAGACAACAATTAAACTCTACTGTAACTACAAAATTAAGCCAGTGTAACAAGATACTAAAACCTAAGTAAACTAGAACAAGGAAGCCAATAGTTAGAAGTACCTGAGATTCAAATATAACCAAAGAATCCATCTCATGCTACACCTGAAAAAAATCCAAAGAACACAACCAAACAAATCAAAATATACAAATTTAAAAATCAAAAAGCAAAAAAATTCTATGCAATGCAAAATCAAAAAACCTTTCTTTGGTGAACCAAACAGATCAAAACTAAAAAAATTCAAAAAGCAAAAATTTTCTATGAATTGCAAAAGGAAAAAATTACTATAGCATTGATGCAGACAAACATACCATAACAAAAAACAAAATTTAAGGATGAATAAAAAAACAAGAAGACAATAAGGCATTACCATCAAATTACACCACTTAGTACAATAACTTACAATGAAAAATGATTGTAAATCTAATAATAGAGCATGGATTCATTTTATCAATTATTGTAAAAATCAACTAACTAGGCCACCAAACTATGTTACGTAGAACACCTTTTACAACATTTCTGATGATCAACTAAATCCGCAGGACCAACTACCACATGCCAAATGAAACCTCTCTGATCACTCAAGCAATTTGAGGGAACAAATCACACAAATGAAACCTCCATCTTAGCCTCCGCCTGAACATCTCTAGAACACAAGATCAAAAAAAGAAGAAGAAAACGACAACAAAAAAATATAATCAGAACAAATACTAGCCGGATGTACAACTTCTAATAAAAAAACTGAATGAAATACTCACGGGCAAAAAAAAATCAGCACCGAAAACGACTCCATCTCTGTCTCCTCTACATCTAGCTCGGCCTCGGCATACCAGAAGAATAGAAACAATGATAATACAAAAAGAGTTACATTCAAAGAAAGGCGTAATAAACTTTTTGCACCTAATACTAGTTACATCAATAATACCTAGGAATTACACATCATTAACAACTGTAAGTGTAGATGAACTCTAGTGTAACTAAAAAATTAATCCATATTAACATGACAATACAAAAATCAAAACTGGAAAATCAAATAAACATGAATGACACAAGACAAGGACTAACGGTACTAACAAGTACTAGATGTAGAAAATATATGTTCAACAAACAAAAATTACAAAAAAAGCAAAATCTGAATCAAGTAGTATAACTAAAAAATATACAGAGACAAACACTATTAAACCAAAATGACTGAAAATCAGTATTAACAACAATAGAGAAATTCGCATACAAAAGTAAGACTACATTACCTAAAAGTACAAACAAAAATATGAAGGAGTGTTGTACCGGCATTTGTAGCCCTTACCTAGATCGTCACCTCCTGAAGGAGTCCCCACTTTATCTAGGAGGTGGTATAGATCTTCCCTCCTTGAACCCTTCTGGAGGTGAATAGTTCTCGCAAACAGCAAACGCCTCTGTTTGACAAATGAAAAAGGACAAACAAATGTATAAGACCACATACACATTTTCCAACCGAATGAATATGCATCCTTGTTACTCTATAGGGGATAGGCCGCCTAACAAAGATGTCCCAAACATGTTCAACAACTAACAACAATTTCAGAATTCGGAACATAAGTTATGCGAACCACTTAAGGTTGAGAAAGCATATAAGGAGCACGAGTATGGAACTTCTTTTGCAAGCTATAAGACTTACCAATGCTTGAGTTCTGGCTACTTTTTGGCTTTGCAAATGTAACTTGTGAGAAGAACAGTTTTAGCTGCATACAGCCACAGACAGGAATAAAGTGCCCATCAGCATCTCATCCAAACATTTACAAAAGTTAAGGGGCACAATGTGGAAAGAATAATCTGGATAACATATTCATCAACCACAACTAACGAAGTTTTCATACTAATGATGGAGAACTGTACAACAGCACAACCTCATGAAATCTGATGATACAAAGATCTACTTGCCAACCAAAGTGAATGTTACCTGACAGTACAGGAGACTTGTATCTTTACCTCGAAATATCTTCGCGACAAATTTTCCACCAACTTTGAGTACATGAGTCACGATAGTCAATGCCTAATTGCAAGGTGGTACATAAATTAGATAGAGAACATAAGCTACCATGACAGTTCAAACTGAAGATGATAAAGCTATGCCAGAATTGACATAAAGAGCAAGGAGATCTCCAGAAATTAGGTAAAGAGAGGTGATTATCCAACATAGCTAAATATGAAAATAATATACAAATATTCAAAGAAAGGAAAACAAATAAATAAACAAAAGACAAAAACCCAAAAAAAAATCTATGGATTGCCAAAACCAATTAACTCTAATATATAGCATTGATCAAACAAATAAATCAAATTCAGGATTCTCAGGGTATTACATGAACAAAAAAAAAGTAAATATAAAAAAAATCTATGGAATGCAAAAACCAAAAACTTTTTGAGGGCAGTGAACCAACCAAACATATCAAAGTAAAAAAATACAAAAAACAGATCTTTTCTATGGATTGCAGAAACAAAAAATTTATGAGGATTGCATCTAACAAACAAATCAAAGTAAGTACACTGAATTCAAATTATGACAAATACATGTGCCTAATAAACTTTTTTCACTCAGTATAGTTGACCTAGCAATTACACCAATAACACCTAGCACTTACACTAGATTAAACACTGTAGGTATAGATGAACTCTAGTGTAAATAAAAATTTAATTCATAGTCCATATAATAGTTAATTTGCCAAAACAAAACAAGATCAAAAAACACAAATAGATAATAAAAAATGCCACGTAGGCAATGTAGTGTACCTGGTGGCACTGGAAGGGAAAGTGTACCTAGAGAAACCTGCAGCACAACAAACACATACCAATGTTTCAGAATAATAGCAAGAGTTGTTGTCATTGTCACATTTTCTCTACAACAAGGCAAAGCACATGAGCGAACCCTAACAACAAAAAATACAAGGAATCGAAACAAACAAAACGAGCGAATCTTGCAGCCTAATAGAATCGCCTCTCACCAGTCCAAAATGACACGGCAAAGAAGACGATGTGCAAATGAAACCGCCACAGAAACCGCAGGCGACTCCCAATTTTTTATCATGAAAGGAAATTTGACAATTACACAACTCAAGTAATGCTACATGTCCATCCTATTTTCTAAGGTAATGCTGCTCAACCGACAATTCAACACTGGTTATCAGTTTATAAATGCACACATTTCACACAATCAAAGTGCTAGTTTTGATTAAACCACAAGCTAGCAAGTACAACATTCAGCTAACACGAGGCAAGAATCAGCTAAGTTGTCTACTAATGTTTGTCCAAACTAGCCGTCTCAATAAGAGAGCAGGAGTAAGTAACAGATACGTACGAAGGCTGGGGATGCCTCCTCTGTCTCGTCGTCGTTCTAGAACTTCACCTACCGGAAGAAGATCTGCGCGCTGCCCTTGGGCACCTCACCGCGATCTGCACCACCCCCACAAAAGGTCGCACAAAGTTTCCAACAAAATCAGCTCAGGATCGCAACGCCCAGATCGAGCGGCGGGGGACGGGACGGGACGGGATCTAGATCTTACAGTCGCAGAAGACGATGTGCTCGCTAAACATATTGGTTAACCAGAGATTGTAATCCAGCCTCTCATCAAATGAGTGTGAAATAATCGCTTATAGATCATGTACAAAAAAATGGATACTAAGAACATACAATAGAAATGGACTTGAAAAAAGGTAGAAAACTAACTACCTAAAATAGTGGAGGAGGCGAGAGAAAAAGGAACTAATAAACAAAAAATGACACAGCATGTAAAAGGATGGATAGCAAAGAAGAGGAACAAGAACAAGGAAGGATAACTCACTTCTTCGAAGACTAGAAGGAATCAGGGAAGCCAAGAAGAATGAACAGAGAGAATAGAATACAAAAAGATACAGATGGGAGATAGGAATAAATAGACAGGGTGAAGTCAAAATAGTTACACGGCTATACACATTAGAATGGGAAACGAAAAGGTCAAAAGGAGGACCGAGTAAAAAGTACAGACAGTTACCAAGAGAGGAAGGTTGGGAAATCACGTCCATCAAATGGAAATTGTTGAATTGGAAGGGGACTACGACCACAACAAATTGCAAAATGGAAAGTGGGAAATCAATTAAAACTGATTGGGCAGTTTCTAAACTGCACGCATGCATCTCAAACACAAGGGATTCAGGAAAAAAAGTACAGGAAACTCACCGTGTATAATCCAAAAATAGGACAGAAAATGGCAAAAAAAAGGAGGAAGAAGTAGAAGAATAGAGTACACGAATAAGAGGCAGGAGAATAAAACATTTGAAGGCAAGGATCACAGAGGAACGAAGATGTAAAGGGGGGAAGGTAGAACAGAAGCCAACATTT